AGCCAAATACTACAAATAAAATCTTTTATTACGATACTGTCAAATAAAATATACAACTTTTTAAAATTATTTATGTAAAACTATTGTTATTTAATGAGCATGACACAGAGTGCTTTAAGGAAATAAAAGAACGATTGCAGTGCTTGTAAGATGGTAGCGGAAGGTAATCTATTAAAGAAGCAATCATTATACATCGAATCTCTTTATGTTCTCCACAGACCTCATACATACCAAGCTCATGCACCAATTGTGTGTTCTGCTCATTAACAAGAACATATTCAATTCCATGTGTATCAAAAAAAATAAACAAAATTCTTGCAAAAATAGGAAGTTCATGATCCTTCGTAAAGTCAATAATCAAGAACAAATCTTTTTTGTAATGGGTACCTTGATAGACAATATGGGTAAAAAATGTATCCGGCAGTTGTCCGCATGTAGATATAATTGCCTCAAAAATTGTAGAACTAAAATTTGTGATATTGAATGAAAATGAATTGACCGCATAATTTTTTGAACTTGGTATGCTTGAATTATTGTATGATTGCAACAATTGATGTGTCTCAGTTAAGGTTTTACATACATGCTTGTAATTGTTAAAATTTCTGGCACACTTTTTAAAGTAAGAATGCTTTTGTTCAAACCTCAAAGTGAAAACCCGCATTAGAGGCCCATAACGCAAAATTAGCTGTGGATAGTGGGACAAATAATGATGTTTTGGTAATAGTTTCTTGGAAGGAAATAATTCTTTACGAGAAGACAAATAGCCATTTATTGAAACCTGCAGATAAGCAATATGTTGAATGTCAATTTTGGGTGAACATATAATCTCCACAATTTCTTTCAGTTTTAAATACAATAACCACACAGGATCTTCAAAATCTGTAATGTAAATTCCTATAAAAAGGGGAAACAAACGCAAAAACACCCAGTTTTGAACTGCATGACCACTTAACTTTTCAGTACAAGAAATTTTATTCACCTCACAAGGTTTATCCAAGGCATCTCCTTCAAAATACTTCTGCATGTTAATTCTTCTATTGATATTGTTAAATGAAAACCATCGTTTACTAACAAAATATTTAACAAATAGATACATATCTCGTGAAGCAACGCCTTCAAAAATATCATGTGCTAAGCATGGTGGCAAACCTGTAGTCACATGAAATCCGCATAAATCATTGAATGGTGACTGAAATTTTATTCCTTCAAAATTGTTACCATTCTGAGCTAATTGAAGCAGGCTATTATTGTGGCTTGATTTTGTCCGATCAGATCCGGAGAATTGAGGGTTAAAATCAAACTCTGCACGTGTTGCTAAACAGTATCGACAAAAGTGCGAAACTGTGCTAAAATTTTCACAAAAACCTCCTATAGAATGTGATCCTAAATTATCTCCTAGTATGCATAGAAGTTTTGTTTTTATTGATAAACTTTTAGAAACAGAAACAGAACAACCAGATATTTCTGCCAATTCAGAAAAAATTGGTGCAAACACTTTGCTGAGGCCAAAGTACTTTAAATCTGTATCTTTACACATTAGAACCAGCTGTAACTGCTCCGATGCATATCTCTTGTGGGATGGAATATTTGCTAATGTTAAGTAAACCGCAAGAATTTTATGTTTTTTCCTTCCTGATCCAATTGGGTTGACAACTTCAAAAGAATCTTGATATAGCATTAGATATAAAATTTCATCATCAGACTTTGCAATATCTTTAATTAGGGATCCACTCATTAAGTCTGTATATATACCAAAATTTTCCTCCGGTTTTAGCCAAAAACCAGGTTCATTACTATGTTTATTGTACATCATTTTTAATAAATCCTTTATTGGAACATAATGAACAGTTCTAGATTTTTTATTGGCATCAAAACCTAAAGTCAATTCTCTTGGAGATATATAACTCATGTGTTTATGAAAATAAGCTTTCCTTTTTTTATTAGTACTTAAAGTGTACAAACTGTTTATCTTTGTATGTTCTGACTTAAAAAATTCTGCTAAAACATTTTCACAGATATCACTGCTTTGATTTGACATTGCAGATGACAGACTTTGAACAGATAATAAAGAACTTGAATGATTTGCTACCATAAGTTCATCAAAAATAGATTGAATACAAGAAGCTGGTATTATATTTTTTACTTGCAATTTTAAAAAAAAGAGAGCTTGATCCTTTAAATATTTTTCAGAAGAAATATCATCAATACCATCAAGAAACTCTTCATTTTCATAGTGTTCTAAAGATCCACGTGTAAAGCTTTCTTGTTCAAGTGTGCTAAAATCTTTATCGTTATTTAAATAAGAAGAATTTAAGCTATGTACAATATGCACTGGCATGATAAAACTTGGATCCCATTGCTTATGCTTTCTGCTTATATGAGATGCTAATGAATTTCGATTAGTGTAAGAACTTTTGCAATTCATGTAAGGACAATGAACTGTGTCAAGTGAGTCAAGATGTAATTTAAGATGTAAAATAAACTGAGATAAACCAGCACATATTTTTTTACATAATGCAATATCACATTTAAAACTTTGGAAAATCTTATTTATTTCTGTTATTGGTTTATTTTCCATGATGATTGTATTATGAGCTTTTCTTATATGCAATTTGAAAGTTGAATATGTTTTGAAAATAATTCTGCAATTTTTAATGCAACAAGGAAATTGAATATTAGCTAAATTGTGATGGCTTTGATAATGAGTCATATAACTCAGCAACGATTTCATTTTTTTGCCACAATGGTTGCATGCTTTTAAATCCAATATAGACATTTTCTTTTTTTAACTGTAAATATATATATATATATATATATATATATATATATATATATATATATATATATATATATATATATATATATATATATATTTACATTTATACAATAATAATAATAATAATAATAATAATAATAATAATATGATGATGATGATTTAAGGTACGAAGATATAAAACATAACTAAAATTTATAGTTGTAACAACTATTAAGCCTGAAACTATATTTAGCCTGAAAATATTAAACACTTGTATATATATATATATATATATATATATATATATATATATATATATATATATATATATATATATATATATATATATATATATATATATATATATATATGGAGTATTATATTCTATACATATATATAATATATATATATATATATGACGAGTGTTTAATATTTTATATATTCAATATATAAAATATAATATTCAATCTTATATCCTTATAAATCAAGTGCAACAAGAAATGTCATTGAAACAAACATTATTTTATAAACTATAAGATCAATTATTAAGATATATGCAAATATTTTAAATATAAATTATTCTAAAATCAATGCTAAATCAAGACTAAATATTAAAAAAAAAAAGGCAACCCGATTTGCTAGTTTTCTCTACATACTCTAACAATTTCACGGTAGTATACCGTGAAGTAGTTTAAATCAGTGTTCACATTGTAATTACGGTACAACACCGTAAAAATAACGGTACTGTACCGTAAAATGCAATCACGGTACAATACCGTATTATTCACTGTATAGTACCGTGAATTTCACGGTAAAGTTTTACAGTGTGGTTAACTTATTACACTTGAACCAATTAGATATATGTCTGAGTTCTTCGTTCACTGTTTTTAAAAGTTCAGCGGTATCATAGTTAAAAAGAAATAAGTTTGTATCATAAGATAACTTTTAAACCATTATGTTTGATAGATAACTTTTAAACTATTTTAAAATTTTATTTTTTATTCTCTAGTATTCGAGTTTATAAATCAAAGTATGGTGATCGACCATATCAAAAACTTTTGATAGGTCAATAAAAATTCCTAGTGTATATTGTCACTTTCCGAATGATTTTGAGATTTCACGGACTAACTGGATAATTGCATGTTCAGTTGAGTTATCTTTCTTGAAACCAAATTGATTGACATAAAGTAGATTATTATCATGATATTTTGTATATTCAGTTGAACATAATTTTTTCTAGAATTTTCAAAAATGTGAAAAATGTGGAAAAAAAGGGGCGATATTTACTGATATCAGATTTGTCCGTTTGCAAAAATTGAAGAAAGTTGAGTTGATAAAATTTTTGATCCATAACATTGATGCATAAACACAAAATTTAAAAAAGTGAACTAAGTGTTAAGTAGTTGCTGATATCAACAACCATTATTTAAAAACCACAGGCTGCTATTTACCAATTAAGCAAAACTATTGTCTGTTGGCTTTGCAACATTTAGAAACGATAAGAAAAACAGCACGAAAACTAGTTAACGGAGCTGGCTAACAGAAGAATTTTAAGTAAAAAATTATCGGAACGGTTAATATACGGAGTCTAAATGGAAGGATTTAGAATACCATTTACTTTCCTCCGTTTTATAATCGGCTGTTTAGATTTTTTTTTCTTAACGGACACCAATTCTCCTTTAGTGTAACGGAGAGATGTGAATACGGCAGCTGATCATTTAATATTGTCTGTTAAAATACGTCACCAAGTGATATTTTCTTGCTAATAACAATGCACTGTTAAATTTATGTAATACCTTACGATTTTAACTTAATGTAAACGCTTTTCTAAATGTTTATGTATATCAAAAAAATATATTACAATTAAAATTTATCTGAAGTTGTTTTAATGCTGATATTTCGTCAGCTGATGGCAAAGTATTTTTTTTAAATATCTAGTAATATCAATTCTTCGAATTAATAATTGTGGTCTTAATATTGATTTATTTGTAAATTTATTATTTGTTAAGTAAAGTTTCTATTAATACTTATTCATGCTGGTTCAAAAAATGCGCTTTTATAAAACTTTTGTCCTATGTTGCTTATCAAAGAGTAAGCTGCGTTAAAAATCAAAAAAGAAAAGTTACATTATGTTTATTGCTATATTGGGCATGCTCTTTTTACCAGGTTTTATTGCCCACTCAGGCGTATTTATTTTTAGATCCAACGAATCAAAATCGAATAAACTTATAAACTGATGAAATTAAAATAAAAAATTAAAAAAATTGAAGCAATTAATATGATTTTGTCACAAAAAGTTGTTTTATTATATTTGTGGGAAATTTTAATAATTTATACAGTTTATTTATTTTGCTTGACTATTCAAGAACCAGATAACTTATTACAACTTGACGGGTCAAATGATATGTTGTTTACCGCTTTGCCGAACGATTTGACAAATATAAGATCCGAGAACAATTCAGTTAGCAAAAGTTGGCATTCAAAAAATAAAAACAGAAAGGTATGCGATTCACCGCATTGCCTAAATATATCTTTAACCATCAAAGCATCATTAAATGAATCAGAAGATCCGTGTAATGATTTTTACAATTTTGCTTGCGGTGGATGGAAGGCATCGCATGAAATTCCATCAAGCGAAAACGAAATTACAGCTTTTACAATTCTTAACCAACAAATTGAAGATGAACTTCATGATCTGCTGAGTGCAGATCCAATAAAAAAAGAAAACAACGCTTTAAAAAAAGCACGTTTGTTTTATAAATCTTGTATGAATATACAAACAATAGAAGAACTAGGACCCAAACCTGCTTTAGATTTTATAAACTATTTAGGAGGATGGTCACTTTGTACCAATCCTGATTGGCAAACTACTTACGCTGAAAAATGGGATGCGTACGAAGTTTTAAAAAAATTGCAAAGAAATTTTTTTCCAGCTCCACCGTTTTTTACTGTTGACGTCACGAATGACCATTTAAATTCAACTCAACACCTTATTAAGGTACAACGAAAATAAATAAGACAAAATGCACAATACACATTTACAATAAATATCATGAGCTAAAAATTATTCAAAAAACTAATTTTTTTATTTTTTATTTTTTCTCTTTTAGATTGACCAATCCGGATTAAGCCTTCAAAGAGAGATTTATTTTAAGCATAGCAACGTGAGTTTATGCCTTAAGTTTGGATGATAAATTTGATTTAAATTAAAAAAAAGATATTTTAAAATACATATCGTAGTTTTAAGTGGGTTAAGGTAATGAATGTTAGTAAACTATGTTAAAAATGGGGTTTAAGTTTTATGTAGTCTTTTTTTGTTCCTAGGTTATTACCGACTATGGTGAATATATGGTAAAAGTAGCTAAATCTCTTGGATATACTTGTAATGACACAGATCCGGAGCGAAATATTACAGCACAAATGTTTTCCATATTAGAGTTTGAAAAGGAGCTAGCCGAGGTAATCATTACAAATTTAAGAAAATATTAAAAATTGTATGTATGTCAGATAATTAAGGGTTTAAACATTAAAATAAAGTAAATTAAAGAAATATGACCGCATAAACTTTTTAGAATATAAAAATTTAAATTGTTTTTTTTTTATATCTTTTGCTCATCTATTCTAATCAGTGTAAAACACTTAATTATTTCTACACCTGGTCAGTCCTGCACTAGAACCAAATGTGATAGTGAAAACACTGGAAAGCATAAGCCTGTGCATATAAAATTAAGACCAAAATCCAGTAAAGTGCAAGTAACAGTATGTACTCCCATGTTTGAAAAAATTATACCAAACTATCACAAAAACTTCTGCAGTTGAACTGAGGCTTAGCTCGATTTCTTAATGCAGGTCAAGTTGTTAACAGTAAGCATTTAAGCATGCAAACAACCTTCCTTTGAAATGATAGCCATGCTGAAGATAATACATCAGATGGTTTTACAACAAGCCACAATTCCGCCAATTTTCAAAATTTTCAAAATTTATTCAATATTAAACTAGTATAAACATGTTTTTCTGAAAAGAAATAGAAAAAAAGAGAAAGTTAAGAAAAAAACCAAAACGCATCATAAAATGGATTTTCTCATAAGCGAAAAACCACAGTTATATAAAAAAACTGTTTTCAGGACGCCGCTCTACAAAGAATCACTCTGAGAGGTAAGAAAGTCTGATAGTTGAGAAAGTTAAGAAAACTGTAATATCTAAAACTCTAGGTTGATTCAAAACCAAATATTTTTTAAACATAAGCAGCCGTGCGCAGTGGTTAGAAATCTGGTTTAGAAACGAAAGGTTCTAGGTTCAACGCCGGCTATGGCCCAATAAGCGACATTGGTAATGAAGGAAGCATAAATTTCCTAGTTAAATGCTCCGCGGTGCTCTTTAATAAGACCACAAGGACTTCTGGGAGCAACTTAATAGTAAAAGAAATAATGTTTTACATATGTTTAAAATCATTTTAAGAAATTTGATACTCAAATTAATATTGAGGATTGCCGAGGAGAAACTTGTGATAATTTTTTTTGTATTAATTTTTGCTTTAGGTGCCCAAGAAGACCTAACGGTCTTGTCACAGAGCACCGTGGAAGAACGTTTAACTAGAAAGTTCACCCTCCTTTATTACTAATGGCGCAAAATTTGCCAAAAGCTTGCATTGAACCCTGAAAATTTTGCTTCTTACGCAAGCACTCTAACCACTGCGCCACGGCTGCTCAGTAATATGTCAGGAAACATGCCAGAACAATGTCATTAATATGTCACGTAATATTGTCAGTAATATATCAGGAAAATATTCTGGAGCTCAAGCATATACATATATAAATAAACAAAACAGCTCCGTTTATTTCTTGTATGGCTCACTCTCTCAATATATCTGGTATTGCAGCTGCCAAGTCATGTATTGATGCACAATCTTATTTTTTATGTGTTCAAAATCTATACACCTTTTTATCCACGTAAAGATGGACCTTTTGAGAAAATGCAGCAGAAAATGAAGAAACAAATAGAAAAAATGCTTGAGAAGATAAAAAAACGTGCGCATTACCTAAAAAATTTAAGCGATACAAGATGGTCAGCGTAAATACGCACTTTGTAGTTTATCCCGTCTCTACAACACATGTATATCTGGATTAAAAACACTGAACAGGAACAACTTTCACACTTGAACACTGAACTTGCAAAGAATCAAAACAAGAACAAAAACATCAAGTTTGATAGAAAATTTTAAAAACGTGAAACTGTTTTCTTAACATCTTTTTGGAAAGCAGCACGGGAGTAAATAAATAAAATCTCTAAACTTCCTCAATCATAGACAATGGATTTTGAGATGTAGCTCTTTTACATTCACTTAATCAAGTAAATTTAAGAGAGCTATAAGAGTCAATAAAATCATTTATTGAACTTTATTTACCGGATATGAATGACAACTTTTTAATAAATTTCCAATAACAGAAGCAGATTCAACATCTATTTTACAAAAGATGTTGAACATAATGTATTATTATAATCTAATAGATGGTTATCCAAACGTTTGTATTGTACTACCTATTTATTTAACTTTGCCTGTAAGTAGCTGCAGTGGAAAATGATCATTTAGTCATTTAGAACGGATAAAATCGTCTTTAAAGTCAACAATTGGCCTAGAGAAATTGGCAAATTTAGCTCTTTTGAACATTGAGTCAAAAATGTTGATAAGTCTTAACTTTAAAGTCATCATTCTTTCTTTACTCTGAAAGTAAGACTAAAAGACTAAATAATTCAACAATGTTGTAACGAATTATTGAAAAGTATAGGTCAATTATAAAAGAAACTCTGCTAAAAAGCAAGAAACACCTTCATATAAAAAAGATTTTAAAAAATTGCAGTTCCAAATAAAATACAGCAGATGATGTCAAGTACTAGCAAAAATAATCAGTTTTTATATAAGCGTAAAAAAAAATCAAAAAAATGACCTAATCAATAAGTAATTCAATTAACTGCATTGTGGCAAAAATTATAAAAACCAGTTAAGTAGTTTTTAAATAATTATTAATTAAAGAATGAAGAATTTTATCGTGTTGAACCGATACTTTTATTTTTATTAATTGTATATTAGAATGTTCGTTAAAAAACTTATTTTATTTCAAATAAAATAACTTTTGGAGTTGGTTAGAGAGCCAAACTGCCTTCTTTTTAGAGATTCTAAAAAAAGGTAGTAACTACTTTAAAATAGGATATGTAATTATATATATATATATATATATATATATATATATATATATATATATATATATATATATATATATATATATATATATATATATATATATATATATATATATATTTTACAATTTACAATTTTTTACGTTAGCAACGACAGGACTTCTAGAAGATCATGAGGATCTTGTCATGAAGCCCTTTACAATATATGGTTAACTTTTAATAAAAATACAATGTCTGTAGTGAAGTAATAATACACCTCTATGCAAAAATATTTAAAAACCAAGATAAAATGTTAAAAAGTCAAGATAAAATTTTAAACCAAATAATATACAAAATAAAACAACAAAAACAAAACAAAACAAAAAAGGCAATTAAAAATAAATCAAGATATTTTCAATTAAAAATATAATTTTTTTAAGTTTCTGTTTGAATGAAGCAAAAGTCATTTGGGTTGAAAAATCAAAATTTGGTAAGACTATTTTGTTCCAGAGATAAGGACCTCGGTAAGAAACAAAAAACTGGTCTTTGCTTTTACGACAAAAAGGGGCAATAAGACTGTTATTAATTCGAAAATTATATTTGTTTTTAGGTTTCATACAATAAAAACTTTGTAATACATTTGGCGACAAATTTTCTCTACATTTAAACATGAAACATAAAATATTAAAGACATTTAGTTGATATACATTTAAAATATTCATTTCTTTAAAAAGTTGTTTCGTGTGAATATATATATATATATATATATATATATATATATATATATATATATATATATATATATATATATATATATATATATATATATATATACAACTTTTACATATTTTATAATATACCTTACCAATTAAAACAAAAAATTTACCCTTTATTTTTAATTGCATGATAAATCATTATTTTTGATACAATTTTTAATATAATCCTACAAGGTAAAAAATTATACCTTACTAGAGGTATTTGATATACCCTTTGTAAGGTATAACTTTCTACTTTCTAAGATACGAAGCCGGATTGCCTTGGGCTGTAAATATAGAAGGGTGTAATGCGATGGTAACCTTAGAATGTCGAGCGGGAACAAGTTTATACTAGAGAGCCTAAGAAAAATTTTGAGTTACGCTATTATACAATTTAGATATACATTTAGAGCATTTTTTTATTATTTTTTTACAATCTAGTTAGGTACGGCTACACTCCTTTGGCCCAAACACCCATATATATTTAAATATGTTTTAATCATAACCTTTAAGAAAGCAATTGCCCTCAGTACAGTTAAACATTACAAAAGCACCAAAACTAATATTTACTTTTTATTGGAATGCCATTGCATTCCAGTATTTAGTAATATTACCGTTGGTATCTATGATGTTATGACAGTGGACCATTTGTATTAAACTGGTAACACTAACAATAAAAGAAGAAAATACCAACAAATGAAAAATAATTAAAAATGAATAAAATAAAAATAGTATTTTGAATACACTTATTCTTAAACACCGTTTTAAAACACACTAATTTTTTTATTTTAAAATAGTTCTCAATGTTTATTACTGAGCACTGACAAACTTATAAATCTTTGTTGTTTTATCTTTAGATAATTTTGCATATATTTTCTAGGATATATATCAGTGACATATCATATGTCAGTGACAATTTACAAACAGAGAAGTAAAGTGCATATATATCCTTTTTACAGTCTAACATTACAAAAGCACCAATAACGATATTAATTATTAATATTTTTTAATAATATATTAATTTAGTAATATAATCCAATATAAGCAAACATATCATTTTTAGTAATGTTGATGGTCAGCTACTTCTGGTACTCTAAGGCGGTTTATACAAGGTTGAGTTGGAATAAAATTTTTGTATTTTTATATTATACTATAAGAAAAAAATTACCTAAAGAAACGAAGAGAAAATACGAAAAGAAAAGTTGTCTGTTTATCTTTAAAAAAGGGCCACAGGCCGGAGCGCCTATTTTTTTCAAGTGGCCTAGGGATCAGCCCCCGCCTTATTACAAGAAATACCTTAGGTAGAAAGTTCTACCTGAGATACATAACATACCTCAGATAGGACTTTCTACCTTTTTTTTTAAGTGTACTTAAAATTTATTTTTTTGTTTTGCGTCAGTTCCATAAAAACCTAATACGGTTTTTATGGAACTGTTCCATTACCGTTACTTTTATGTTTTTAACATAAAAGTAACGGTAATGGAAAGCTGTATTCTAACAATAAATAAATTATTAAAATTCATAAAAAGT